CACATAGAATCTGTTAAAAATTAATTAAAATTAAAATAAAAAATTCTTGAAAATAATTTTAAAATATCAAAAGAAACAATTTAAAAATCATACACACTATGGGGAAGTTTTAAAGGCAAAACTTCTGTCTTTGATAATGCTACAACATTATATTATATTATATTATATTATAACATCATATGAGATAAATTGCTATCTTTTTTTGGTCCTTTTTTTTATACATGTAATTCATTTATTTGAAAGGCAGAGAGACAGGGACAGGTAAATAGAAAGAGATCTTCCATCCACTGGTTTACTCCCCAAACGACTGCAAAGGTCAGAAATGGACCATGCCAGAGCCAGGGATCTGGCACTCTATCTGGGTCTTCCACGTGGATGGCTGGAGCCCACATACTTGAGCCATCTTCCCTATTTCTCAGGTGCATTATCAGGGAGCTAGATTGGAAGGGGAGAAGCCAGGACTTGAGCTGGCATTCTAATGTATTATCCTACATTTTAGGAAGCAGCTTAATCCACTGCACCATGACACCAGCCCAGATTACCATCTTAAGTAGTAATGCCAGTAATGATGACTTCCCCAAACACACCATCCTCTTTGTTTTATGGTGTGGTCCTTTATTTGCCCAATAAGAGATATCTTGTTCTTCAAGGCTGTTTGTCAGAGAATAAAAAGTAAAAATCAGCTCCTAATCAGCCTTTGAATTACAAAATAGACTCTTCCAAACTCTTGAGACATCTAAAAAACAAAAGTTTTGAATTGTAAGAACAAATCTTTTCAAAAATTTTTGTTTCAATTTAGAAAAGATGAATTTTTCTTTGTGTAATTTATTTGAAATGCCTTAAAAAGTAAAAGTAAAAAGAGGAGTGAATGGATGAACAGAAGAACTGATGTACATAGAGTACAATGTTAATTTCAGAATTTGGGTGCTGGGCATATGGTGTGTACCATAAAATACTTGCATCATTGTTGGGTGTTTAAAAATTTCTAATAAAATGTAAGAGGAAAAGTCTGCATCAATGCAGGATAACTTTCTTGTGAGCAACCGATAGAAAAGAGGGTAGATGAAAAGTTAGTAAAGCCTATCCTTACCTCTCTGCCATCTGCCCTGGAAAGACTAAATTAAGTTTTCCTCAACTGGGGAAAATAAGAAAAAAATTATAGGAACTCATACTAGAACTCATTTAGTCCCCAGTTTATCCCCCCCCCCAAAGAAACTTTTACCTGTGTGGGAAATGTAAATATCACACCTAAAAATTACTAGATAAGACACTGCTTAATTGTTTGAATCCAGAACCATTAGGAAATAGTTCAGGAAAATTTCATGGAAATTGAGATTTCTTGAGGGCTAAATATGAACTGCTTGACTTCTGAGGTAATAGCCAAACAAAATATCAGAGATTTCATCAACACTTGCATGGAGATTAATTTCTATCACCAAAAACTGAGAAGAGGAGAGGAGAGGAGAGGAAGGGAGGGGAGGAGAGGGGAAGGGAGGGGAGGGGAGAAATTTAGTCTTCAAATATTATAATCCTATGTTTGAAGTTTTAAAAAACAGTTTCTCTTCTCTGGAAGATTCATCTCTGCCACCCACATCAGAAACCCAGATGGAGTTCCTGGCTCTTGACTTCTGCCTGGTCCAACCCTAGCTGCTGCAGCCAATTGAGGAATAAATGAGGAAATGGAAGCGCTCACTCTCTCTCTCTGACTCTCTACCTTTCAAATAAATAAATCCTTGAAAATAATTCAGCATCATTCCCATAGACTTAGATACTATTTTTAAATAACAAAAATTAAAATGATAAAAGTTGGTAGAAAACATACATATGAAGATGATAGCAGGACATCAGAAGCCTATAGTGAGGACAAAACACAGAAGATAAAACGAAAACATATCAGGTGTGTTTCTTTGAGTTGGACTCATGAAAAAATTTTCCAATACACAAATATCTGCTAACTCATCTTTAAAGACAAATTTATTTCAAAAGCAGCATAAAAAGTAAAATATTTTCCCCAGTGAAAAGAAAAAGAATAATTTCTTTCAATTTTTATTAATTGTATTCCAGAATCTGGAGAAGATATGTGTGGGGGTGGCATTTGGTGCAGTGGTTAAGATATTCTTGTGGTTAAGATATTCTTGTAATGCTGGCATGCCATGTTGAAGTACCTGGGTTTGAGTCCTGGTTCTGCTCCCGGTTCCAGCTTTCTACAAATCTGCACTCTGGTAGGTAACAACTGACAGATCAAGTACTTGTGTCCCTACAACCCGTGTGGGAGACCCGGATTGAGTTTCAGGATCTTGGCTCCAGCCTGGTTGTCCCTCATGTCCTCATGTCCCTGATTGTTGTGGCCATTTGGAAAGTGAACCAGTGGGTTGGAGATCTTGCCTCTGTCTCTCTAACTTTCAAATAAATTTTTTTTTTCAAGTTTATTTATTTATTATTATTTATTTATTTATTTATTTATTTTTTAACTTTTATTTAATGAATATACGTTTCCAAAGTACGAATAATGGATTACTATGGCTTCCCCCCCATACCGTCCCTCCCACCCACAACCCTCCCCTTTCCCACTCCCTCTCCCCTTCCATTCACATCAAGATTCATTTTCGATTATCTTAATATACAGAAGATCAGCTTAGTATACATTAAGTAAGGATTGGATTTCAACAGTTTGCTCCCACACAGAAACATAAAGTGAAAAATAATAGATGATTTTTTTTTAATGATGATGAAATCAGATCAGACCTATTGTCATGTTTAATCCCAGTGAGAGTCAAGTTGGGAGTTGATAGTTTCTTTTCTTTTCTTTCTTTTTTTTTTTTTTTTTTTTACAGAGGATCAGTTTAGTATGCATTAAGTAAAGATTTCAACAGTTTGCACCCCCATAGAAACACAGAGTGAAATATATTATTTGAGTACTCGTTATAGCATTAAATCTCAATGCACAGCACATTAAGGACAGAGATCCTACATGAGGAGTAAGTGCACAGTGACTCCTGTTGTTGACTTTACCAATTGACACTCCTGTCTATGGCATCAGTAATCTCCCTATGCTCCAGTCATGAGTTTCCAAGGCTATGGAAGCCCTCTGAGTTCTCCGACTCTTATCTTGTTTAGACAAGGTCATAGTCAAAGTGGAGGTTCTCTCCTCCCTTCAGAGAAAGGTACCTCCTTCTTTGAAGACCTGTTCTTTCCACTGAGATCTCACTCACAGAGATCTTTTGCCAGAGTGTCTTGGCTTTCCATGCCTGAAATACTCTCATGGGCTTTTCAGCCAGATCTGAATGCCTTTAGGGCTGATTCTGAGGCCAGAGTGCTATTTAGGGCATCTGCCATTCTATGAGTCTTCTGAGTATCTCACTTCCCATGTTGGATCACTCTCCCCTTTATTTATTCTATCGGTTAGTGTTAGCAGGTACTAGACTTGCTTATGTGCTCCCTTTGACTCTTAGTCCTTTCATTATGATCAATTGCGAACTGAAATTGATCACTTGGACTAGTGAGATGGCATTGGTACATGCCACCTTGATGGGATTAAATTGAAGAAATGCAAGAAGCAGATCTCAAAAAATTGATAAGAACATTAAGAAGTTCTCAAAAACAAATTCTTGAACTACAGAAATCCTTAATGGACAAGATAGAAAATCTCTCTCGTGAAAATGAAATATTAAGGAGGAATCAAAATGAAACGAAACAACTAGTACAACAGGAAACTGGGATAGTGACTGAAGTGAAGAATTCAATAGATCAAATGAAAAACACAATAGAGAGCCTTACAAACAGAATGGGAGAAGCAGAAGAGAGAATATCGGACTTAGAAGACAGAGAACAGGAAAGGATACAGTCAGACCAAAGAAAAGACGAGGAAATTAGAAATCTAAAACATATTGTCGGGAATCTTCAGGATACTATTAAAAAAACCAACATTCGGGTTCTAGGAGTTCCTGAAGGCATGGAGAGGGAGAAAGGATTAGAAGGCCTTTTTAGTGAGATATTAGCAGAAAATTTCCCAGGTTTGGAGAAGGACAGAGAAATCCTAGTACAGGAAGCTCACAGAACCCCTAATAAACACGACCAAAAGAGACCCTCACCACGACACGTTGTAATTAAACTCTCCACAGTGAAACATAAAGAAAAGATCCTAAAATGTGCAAGAGAGAAACGTCAGATTACTCTCAGAGGATCTCCAATCAGACTCACAGCTGACTTCTCATCCAATTTAATTTCAAATAAATTTTTAAAAATTTTAAAAGTTTTTAACAAAGATATTTATATTCATCATAGGTCACACTTTACTCCCCACAAGTACAGACTAAAGTAAAAAGAGTCCTACAATACATTTTGTTTACAAGGTGCATATTAGAATCATAGAAGCATTCTTCCATGACAGCTGACAGTTATCATTTTGTTAGTCCCTTTTCCACAATCATTAAAAAATGTTTTCAAAAAGTCTAGAAAAGAGGTTTACTTGAGAAAAAAAGCTTACTGGGGGCGCTAGCTTCTAAAACCCAGCTCAGATTTGGAAGTCCCTTTAAGGGATCCACCTCATGTCACAAAGCTAAACAGATCAAGAACAAAGGACATTTACAGAACCACTCTTATGGACATGTTATTTATGGCATCCCCCAAGCCAAATACTATGCTTCCTTAATATTGTCACAGGTTTACAAATATCTTAACCCAGAGATTCAGACTGTTCTTCTTGCATAAATAAGGAGATACATCCAAACTTTCTTCAGATTTTCTTGCTGAAGTCCTACGAGTCTAAGAGAAGACAAAGGCAGAGCGATAATTCTCAAGGTAGGGAACAGACAAGTGTCCATTCAGTAGAAACATTAGGATTTTGAATTCTCTTTCTTCTCTTTTCAAGGTCCCAGGTGCTTTACAGTCTTTCTATCAACTTTTATAATTTCCATACATACTCCACCCTGAACTTAGTCTTCGTCTCTTCCTCCTTCCCTCTTTCTGGCACTGGATCGCCACCCTTGCATCCCAGTTACCTGTGCTGCCAGGAATGCTGCTTTCACTGAGGCGAAGGGGCTCCTCTTCTGCCTGTGCTCATATATTCCAAAAGACAAGCTACCTCTTCCTGCTCCTCTTTCTCTCTCTCTCTAAAAGGCACAGAGAGATAGAGAGATCTTCTATCTGCAGTTTTGCTCCCTAATTGTTCTCAACAGTTGGGGCTGGGCCAGGCTGAAGATGAGAGTCTGGAATTCAGTCTGGATCTTGCACATGGGTGGATCAGAAGGGGAGAAGCTGGACTCAAATCAGACACTCTGACAGGCAAGGCATACTCAAGTGCTGTGCCAAATGCCCACCTCTTCTATCAGTTTTCTAATACTCCCTCTTGTGGAAACTGGGGGCAAATTCTCCCAGCAATGAAACAGGCAACCTCTAGGTATGAAAGAAACCATCTTCAAAATCACCTCTTAACAGCAGCAGGAGCCCCAGTTTAGACCCCGTTTGCCTGACATCTCTTGTCTTGCAGAGAAGTTTCTGTCCAACAAATGGATGTCTCTCAAAAGTTAGGGGAGATTTTGTCTCCCTTATTTTATAGACACATGCCTGCTTTTCTGCAATGTACCATGGTATTTTTCATTATATAATAGAGTTCATGTTGGGCATACAGAGAAAGATCTCATCTGGATACATATCAAATATCCATGTTCAGTGGAAGCCTTTAAACAGCTTTACAATGAATGGAAGGGGAAGTATGTCAGATTAGCCATGGAAGCAAGCAAACTCTAAGGTTTTGTTTTGGAAACACAACCTGGGCTTTTTATCCACTTGTCTGTCTAATTTTGAGGTTCTATAATACTTTTAGAACAAGACTAAAAACCAATAGCCAGACTTTACAGATAACAGAAAGATGCATGGTTCCTTTAAGTGACTTTACCCAGGTTGTTAGCAGAGATTTCAAGTGCCACCAAGCATAGTAGCTGGGCAAAGAGAGGCCTTCTCATTGTCTGAGAATTTGCAGGCAAGGCTTTTCTAGCTAGCTATTTAAATATTTCCTAATAGAAGTTAAACAGATCCTTACACAATAATGCAATTTTTTTCAAACCAAAAAAAAAAAAAAAGCTCAAAATATTTCATGGCCATGACTGCTAAAGTTAGTTAATTTTAAATTAAATAAATTCAAAGAAGAAGCCAGCATAGGTTGAGCATCCCTAATTTAAATATCCAAAATCACAAATACTCAAAAATTCACAATTTTTTAGTACCAACACGATGCCACAAGTGGCAAATTCCACATTTGACTCACGTGACAGGCCACAGTCAAAATGCAGGCACACTACAAAATGCCTGAAGTTCCCTTCAGGCCAGGTGTGCAAGATCATGTGAAACATAAATTAATTTGTGTTTAGAGTTGTATCACATCCCCAATATATCTCACCCTGTATATTCAACCTATATAAGACAACCAGTGAATAAAATTTTGAGGCTCAAGCTAATCCTACTAACATCATAATGGTGATGAGATGATGATGGTAGTGGTGATGATATCTTTGTTTGGTACTTTATATATACAAAGGGTATTCACATTTTCACCCATTTATATTATTATCCCAATCCACCTTACATTTGAGAAAATGAAATTTTGATAACCAAATTTTTATTTTTATAAAGAATAGATAACTTAATTTTCAGAATAAGGAAAGGGAAACTAGATCATTTTTCTAACAATATGGGTTACAGAAAACATGTGTTAACTTACTGTAGTTTGCAAAAAGATTTCCCCTCATTATCTTGTGAAGTGTCGTAAGTTTGGTAATATGAATCACCCGAGACATTTTCTCAGGGTTTTGTACTTTGGGAAGATACCCAGATCTAAACTCTGTCTACAGCCATTGGGAGATCCTTCTTCAATTCACATGCAAAGTTATTAAAAATCCATTTATAGTGCTGCCTCTAAGTGAAATCAGAAAAAAATGTAGAATCCAAAGATAGAACAAAGTTCTTAAGCAAATTCAGTCTAGTGGATTGTCTTACAATTTGAGCATTTTATTTCTATGTCTAGGTTGCGTTCTTGATCCCAAACATCTCTGTCACTGCCATCTTCCACTGCTTTTCCAAGCACATGAGCAGGGACCTGGATCAGAAATGGAGCAGCTGGGACTCAAACCAGCACTCCTATGCTGGTGTTACAAGTGGTGGCTAACTTTCTGTGCCAAAATACTAGCCCAACAGTTATGTAATATTAACATTCATATATTACTCTTTTCATAGACTATATCTCCTTTAGCACTCATTTTGGAATCAATGTAATTCTCAGTCTGGCAATTATTTTCCTTTGCTCCCAGATTTTCGGTGATCTTTGCTCATCAACTTCTACATCAGCTCTCCCAAAAGAGTGAAGCATAATTTCATATTGACGGAGTTCCTTATGTTTTCCCATTTCCTCAAAGCAGTGAGACAATCCATTCATTTCTCTTGTAGTACTCCTCCTTCTTTCCTTATTCTTCACAACAGTAGTTGAGCAAAAAAGAACCCGATATATATATATATATATATATATATATATATATATATATGGCCTTTCATTAAATTGCCTCTCTCTTATTCAGCTACATTCTTGCCATCTCATAAAATCATAAGGAAATCAATTTCCTGCTCTTGGAAAGAGTTGACCTTATTGTTAGGCTGACTTCATTCAAAGTGAAAACAAAAGAATCCCTGCCCAGACCCTTTGTCACTGGCTCACATTTGTCTTACCCAAATGAAATTTTATTGTATGTACTTTTGGTTCTATCAATATCTAAGAAACAATATAAAGGTTCTTGTTTTGTTCTGAATGTAGGATTTTCATCCACAGAGTGCGATTGTGCAAATAGTAATTCAGTAGACAGTCCAACTGGAAACCAAGGGGTGTTTGCTCAAGGAATGAAATATTTGAAGACATCTTCAGAAGATGATTGTGGAGGATACGCCAGAGGTCTGCTGAGATGAAGAACAAAGACTGACAGGGACTGTTCTGGGAGTGGTTACCCCCGGGGAGAGAGTGAAGCCTTAGTGATTGATCTGAGTATCTCAGTAGACACAGAGGTGAGAGAGCAGAGATGGCTCTGATAATGGGATCATTCCTGACACCAGTTTGAGCTCTAGCCAAGTTCTCAATCTTACCCAAGGGAGGGGAATTAAATACAGGAAGTGTAAGGCAACGATTCTAGTCTGTTTTAAATTTAGATCCAAATCCTCTTAGCTGTATTAGTTATATAGCTGCACTCGACCTAAGTTTCCCCATCTGTAGAGGGCTGCACATTAAATAACTACTATGTAGAAATACTTCGCCAAGTGCTAGTCAGAGCAGGTATTCAATAGACAGCAAGTAAACCCCAAACAATAGAAAACTGAAAGGAATGTGACACATTTCTCTGACAGTCTATGGAAGTGCAAGATTCCACTGGGGTTTGTGCAGTAAAACTTGGGTAAGAGGTGTCTTGCCACTTTGGTGGCAAGAACAATAGTGTTTACTTGCATTTAGGGCTCAAGAAAGCATATCCCACATTGGACACACTTGGCACAGTGAGAAAGAGCTATCCAACAGTGCTCCTGAGAGTGTTATAGCAGACAACTGAAAGCACAGTGATAGGTGAGCATCAGAAAACCATCAGCAGTGAATAACTGTAGGAGATTAGAATAGCAAGACCCTATGATGGCTCCCATATAGGAACTGAGAGATTGGATTGGTGAGGACACATTCGCTATTCCTCTGCAGATTCTGAGAACTATTTGTGAGGGATTCTAGGGACAAGTTGCAAATGTACCTTTGTGATCCTTATGTTTCATCCTTGAGAAGTTTATGGCTAGTAAAGAAAACATGGATACGCATAAATGATTACAAAACCGCGGGGACAAAGCCTGTGAATGATGTATAAAGACGGTAAATATTTGGAGCAAGGTGAGAAGGGGTTGAGTACTGCTGTGCAGGACCACAGAGGGTAGGTAAAGACACCATGAGTGGTTTGAATCGGCACAAAAGAGTGTTCATCCAAGGGCAAGGAGGCAAGCATTTCCAAAATGAGTAAACAGCATGTGAACGATACAGTACATAAAACTTCATGGTGTGGCAAAGAACACAGGGTGCATTTTGAGAAGCGGTAGAATATGCAGAAGACAACATGGCACTGTAAGAAAACTATGCACAGTGAGGCTTCTTGCCCTGTGATTAGCACTTTACAACTGTATGCAATGTCTTAAAATTTCTAGGAACTTTAATGTCCTCATCTGAAAATGAGGAAAAAGACAGCCATATTTAAGTGTTTTTATAGAAATTATACAGAATGGAAGGACAGGCAGCCAGCCTAGATAAAATGCTTGAACTTGATATTTGGTTCAGCTCCTGAATCCAGCTTCCTGTTCATGCAGATTCTGGGAAGCAGTGATGATGGCTCAAGTTATGGGCTCCTGACACTCACGTGAGACCCAAACTGAGTCGTAGGATCCCATCTTTGGACTGGCCCAGTCCAGCTGTGTGGGCATTTGAGAGTGAACCAGTGGAAAGTAGCTCTTCAGTCTGTCTGTCTGTCCCTTCCCGGTCTCATTCTGTCTGTCTTGACCTCTCATATAAATACAATTTTCAAAACATGTGTATGCAATGTTTACTCCAGTATCTGTTGTGGTAGATGCCCAAGAAATATTAGATCTTCCTTCTAAACTTTTGTTCTAAATGTTGGCAGAGGCTAGATTGAGGTAGGATTTATATATCATGCAAAGACATTTGGATTTTTTGATATAGGCAAAAAGGACCTACTTTTAAGTTTAAAGCACTTGTAATTAGTAAAATTGATATTAGTAGAATAAAAGAAAAAGGAAAAAAATCCAAAGATGTTTTGAAGGTAGAATAGTCAGATCCTTAGGGAAGTTGCAAGCTAAAAGAAAGACAGCACTGCTCTGTGAGTGCTGGTCCCTAGGATTGTGCAGCATGTGGTGCTGGTGGAATGCTGGAGTGCACCCAGCTGAGTGACTGGTTGAATAGTGATCTATTAAGTGGCATAAAATATGTGAGGACACGCAGATGTAGCAGAAAAGGTAATGACTTCACTTTTGTAAATATTGCGTGAAACTAAAGCATACCTAAGAAAAAAAAGAATTCCATTTTTAACAAGTACATGTGTCTGCAGTCACTGACACATATCATGTAGTTTCATAAGTCAAGAGCTATATGGTGCCAGCGCTGTGGTGTAGCAAGTAAAGCCGCTGCCTGCAGTGCCAACATCCCATATGGGTGCCAGTTCAAGTCCTGGCTGCTCCACTTCCAATCTAGCTCTCTGATATGGCCTCAGA